CAGTTCATACTTTGTACTGGAAATACTGGAACAAGAATTTCTGATAAAAATAACTAATGTAACAAAGCAATTTGAGAAACCACAGACAGAAAAAAAGATAGGAGACGTATCGGATGATTAAATAATAACTTACGATGAAGGTAATAACTTAAAAGTTTAGAGAGTACAAAATATGTCCGAGATGACAATAAAACATATATCCGGTGATGTGTCTCTTATTAATTCGAGAGACAGCACAATGGGGCACATTACAAGGCACTTTGTTAACAAACAAGATGGAAAGTGGAGAGGAAATGTTCCCACCGTCGTGACAAATTAAATGTTATCTCATTTCGGCTAATGCAGTAAAACAATGAAAGTGTTACATTGCGTAACACTCGCGTAATGCCTTTGGGAATGGGGTATAGATTAGCGGGATCGAGATAAGCTAGCAAAAATGTTGTATAATTTGACACACTAACAATTAAGTGTGTTAATGACTGCTCTATTCGAGCGGAATGCTCCAAATTAAACAATCCTTGGCATTTGAGAAATTTGCATTAATAATCATAATTGCAAGCTTATTAATAGCTAAATTACAATACATAAATCAGACCACAAATTGATCACAAGTCATTAAAAGACAAACAGTCGTAAAAATAAACAAACGACTAATGAAGCGAGTAACAACATCTAAGTATAGTTAAAACATAGTGGTAAGTAACGTAATTATGATAATAAAGCAGCAGCACCTCTCTATTGGAAAGCCAATGAAAGTAAACGCGTAAATTGATCTCGATACGTTGAGGTCTAGACGGAACCTGTTCACTGTAACATAATATTTAACAAACCCTATAGCCATGCTTTAAGTAAATTGCATAATGGACTGATATTACAGACAGTTGTTAGAATCTAGTGTCAAGAGAAAGGAAAGAACACACACTAACATTCATAAGAAGTTTTTGCTTTTGGATGTAGCTCAAACAGAAAATAATACCCTGAAAAAAAGCCTTACAAACAATCTGTTCCTTTTCAATAAATTACTAGTTGGATGCGTTATGTGCGGTAGTGAATTATTAATGAAATTAACAAACAAATGAATAAAGATGAACAAATGGTCTAATTTGAGACAAGAAACAATTAGAAACCATTCGTCTCTATAGGAATTTATTGATTTTTGATTAACAGCAGCACCGAACCATTTCGTGATATGATTTCAAGGCATTAATTAAAGATGTGCTAAACAATCGCTAATCTACATACGCTCAAGGTCGACGCTGCAACAATGCGGTCGGACCACTTATCAAAATGTCAACGGTGCGGAACCCATTTTGCTGAGGAATTGCATGTGATTGCAAACTACTGCGATATCAATAAAGCGATAAAAATTGGAAATGGGGCTAATAGTTATAGCTTGTAACACAAATTCTTTTCTTTTTCAATAAATGGTACACGGTAAGTTGTCGTCGAGTTTTTTCCGAATTTAGTGAGAAATGATTCAACTTCTAACGGGAAAGAGGCCAAGATCGGGAGCTGTACTTTTTGTTTTTATACACGTCAGGCCATGGCACCACTTGGTACGGCCGCGCGTGAGTTTAAATATACATAGAAAATTAAACACTGGCTGGCGTAAGATGATCTTTTGTCACTGCAATCTTTTATTTCATAGTGTAGAAGACATGGGGAAATGAAATAAAGAGACTCCTCACTCAGTGCACTGTCGATGTTTTTGAATCTGCTGATGACCTAATACACTTCTCAAGTAATATACAAGGCAAATTGGTTTTGCCCCGTGTCGTGACTTCATTGTGTGTTCAGCACAAACGGACGCTGAATGTTGATAAGCTAAGCCCGTGATAACGCACCGCAAAAATGAGAATTGTTTGAACGGGACAGCCAAGAGCAGTTTTTAAGGAGTTAAATATTATGCAATGTTGCTTTCACTGTACCACCCTTGTACAAACCTCTCTATGCCTTTTACTTGCGAAGATGTCAGAGGCGAAAAAAACGAAAGTGGCCGACTGTTTAGCTATTCGCGAGCGGCTGACGTAGCTGGAAAGGTGTTAGTTAAAATTAGTGTCCGACCGAATATGGATTTTCAGCCGAAAACGGAAACGAAAACGAAGCTTCGGCTGCAGTCTCATTTTCGGCCGAAAACGAAAACGAAAATGACCTTCAACTCTCAAATTTCAATCTGAAATTATGTAAAAACTTTGAAAACCGTTAATGTTTTGACCAAAAACATAATGACGTTTGACAGTTGATTTTGATAAGGATTGATTAAAGAAAACCGGCATTAAAACACAAAAAAATTAATTATGAATTCTTAGTAGAATATTATTTCCGGTGTATATTGAAATATTGGGAAGTGAAGAAGAAATAAAGGGTGTCAAGTGGGAATTTTTTAACTTCAAAAATGAATACAAATAAATTAATGATTTTTTATTATTTATTACTAATGCAAACTGGAGTTTAACAATGTGGATTAAATTTTTTATAGGCAATGTCTTTTAAATGATGCCCGTTTTACTATAGGCACTCTCACAGCCGGACCCTTACATTCGCAACTATGCGAGAGCAAATCGCGCTAATAATTTTCCTGCAACTTCACGGCGGATATTTTCTTACAGAACCCGAATTATTTAAGGATTGTTTGCTGTAAACTTTTGACTTTAGATATCCCCATAAGAAAAAGTCGCATGGTGTGAGATCTGGTGACCGAGGCGCCTAGGGTATGTCCCTGTACTTGCTGATCATTCATTTGAAAAAAAAAAATAGTCCTCAGTGTCTCCATCGAGGTACTCTCCGTGTGTGGTGAAACACCTTCTTGCTGAAATAGAGTTACGTAGTTGACCGGGATGCAGTTGCAGTTGTGGTATCAGACATTCATCGATCATTCGACAATACATTTCAAATACTTATTGCTCAACTGCGTACGCTCTGTAGGCACCAGTGACTCATGGCGTATTATTTTGAAACAATTAAACTTAATGAAAACTCTTTGGGTTTATTGTATTCAATTTTGAACTTGGGAAATTGTTGCTGGACACCCTTTACAACGTAACCTCACTTCACAACTTCAAAAGACTGTGACAATACCGCGTCCGTTCAAGTCTGATTGGAACCATGAGTGCACCAGATGCACTCCCGAAGATATCGGAACGATAAACGTCACCATCTTATTCACGTATTTTTGATATTCGGTTTGGCCGAAGCTTCGGCTGGTTTTTGGCCGAAAACGAAAATATGGCCGAATGTCCATTTTTTGGCCGAAAATGGCCGAAAACGAAAACGAAAACGAATATTCGGTCGGTCACTAGTTAAAATAGTGCCTAATCCAAATAGCGTTGGAGCATGCGCGAGCGCTTGTCGCTTGTTGATAGCGACACGGCGCGAATGGTAATCGCGAACGGCAATGTCCTTGCGCGAGAGCCGAAAGCTAATGCTTGCTTTTATTTTGCAACACGGTTAATACCTTGCTCGTAGCGCGTAACGCCCGATGTCCTGCGCATACCGTATTTGTTCTAGCTATGAGTGTTTTAAGACACATTAAACGGTACTGTGTCAATGATGGATGGTGATTGCGAGACGTTTGAATTAATCATCAAGTTGCGCTGAAGCGTAAACTAAATATTTATTAATTAGCCGATTCTTGAGCAACCCTGGAACATTTAATAGAACAATGTCTGCGTAAGATAACTGAATGTGTTGTTACAGATCCAGTTATTTCAGTTTTTTGTTTTAGCAAAATCGGCTAACATTGATTACATATTGTACCTAAATTAATTGGATTTAGAATTGCTGAAAGAAATTTTAAATAGGTAGAATTGATAATAAAAAGTGTGACGAAGTGTGATTTTTCTTTATTGGAGAACAATTAGGTATATCTCATTCATATTGAAATTAAAACAAGTGACGCCTATACATATAAATTGTAGGGATATTTCGTGGTCTACATTTTCTTTTCTTCCAAAACGGACACAGATTACAGCTGGTTCATATTATCCTGAACCTTTAACAAGGACCATGTTGTTTTCAAATGCGCCAGGGTGGTTGACCTCATAATGTTTTCGCGGGCACGTCTCGCGCCATATTCGTCCGGCACTCGCGGGTAAACAAACTACTTTGAGGTTAGGTACCAACATAATAACATAAAGTGGGTTTAAGTATACCGTAGTAAAGTAATAGAACCTACATCCAAATACACATAAAAAGATTACGGTATCTTGTCATATAATACACAGACTAGTCCGGTTGAAAACGCTTTAATTTATTGTGACTACCAATTAAGGAAGCATTATTGGAGAGTCAGTAATTATGAATCTGAGTGAAAATACATATTACTCAATCAATGACTTACTTTTTTTTATTAAGGCCGTTTGTAAGCTGTATGGATAGTTATTGTAATTTAATCACTGAAGACAAATTATGCGTTTATGATTATTTATAATCATGCAGAAGTGGAGGTTAAAATGACAAAAATATTTACGCCGCTCGACCTTGACTATCTTAACCTTTGTTGGTATAATTAAATAATCATGCATGAGAGTTAAACTCCGCGACTAACCAGAGGTTAAATATATGACGTCTGTAAGATTAACTAGTAGTAAGCAGTACCTACGTAACTTACTTATTTTTCACGTAAATTACCTACGAGGAAATACGTTAACGTCTAAACTGTAGCACAATGTAGAGCCCTTTTGTTTTTCAAGATTCCAGGGTGTTTTTTTTACGAATAACTATCGCTGAAGGTGTATGTAGGACATTATGTAAAGGCGAGTTTCAAGAATTTATTTTATTATTAGCGCTTATATTAGATAGAACTTTAAAATTTAAGCAACGGAATACACTTCTTACAAAATTTACCTAATATCTACAAAGCATTTCAGACTCCGTCAGTGACTCAGTTTTGTATAAAAAATAGGTTAATATTTTTTTGATCAGTGCGAAATTTAGTCAAACTTAAATCAGCTGGATTAAAAACTGACGGAATCCTTCTAATCTTCGGATTAAAAACTTACCTGAGATTGCTGGCCCAACTACGTAACATGTTTGTCATGCTCGCAAAGTCCGCACTCCGTTACCTGCAACAAAAGGTAAAATACCTTAAACTGGGCCTGCAGGCATGATGCATAACTGACATAGTATAGAAGATTGTTGTCTGTATTCCAAGTTGCATGACAGTGGCATGTTGGGCGTTAACCCTGCGCGCGCAGAGTATGCGCGTGAACAGATCCCGCATATAATTATGGAAATCTTTAGTTAACAATAACATTTCATAACTAGGTACCTATTATAGTTTAAATACATCGACGATCGATCATAAGAAATCTTTTCATTGTTAATCGATCTTCTACATAAGGAATAGTGATTTATTCTCTATGGAAACTTTGAATTCGCGAATATCTTTAGTTAATATTCATATAAATTACCGCTCTACCTCAATGATTGATAATAAATATTGCTGGTGACTAAATTGACACCTTGTTTAACATGAAGTAGGAATATTTTAGACCCCATCAACAAAAATTAGCAGCTTTCAGGAATTTTTGTACTTTAGTAATTTATTTCAGTGTTTGTACAAGTGTTTACAAGAACAAAGTTCGTAAAACTACCAATAGATGGCGCTGTGCTTACTTAGCTCTCGCAAGTGAAGTATTCGGAGGGCCCTTTATATAGTAAAATCTGTTTGTATGAAATCGACTATCTTTGGAACAATTTTGCTCTCCGCAAATCAGTTTGGTTTCCGTAGTGGTAAATCCACTGATGATGCTGTTTTAGAACTTTCTGAAAACATAATAAAAAATTATGACAAAAAACTTAAAACTGTTGGCATCTTCTTGGACCTTTGTAAGGCTTTTGACACGGTCTCTGTTCCCATTCTTCTTTCAAAACTTGAACTCATTGGCGTGAGAGGTGTTGCTCTTGATATGTTCCACAGTTACCTNCTTGGAATAAAAAAACACGCACTGTTACAAGCTCCCTATTAGTTAAAAGTTCCGAATAATCGACAATGTCACAAATCTCCTCTGTTACAACTCACCTCGGTCTACCCTACTAATCTTTAAAAAACTTTATTTTCTTGGATTTGAACTAATGCAAACTAGCAAAATGTATTGTATTCTCTTCTCTTTTCTAATAATATTAATACCTACATAATAACATAATTTCCCCAAATTATCTTGTTATTGAAAGGAATCACTCAAGCAACAGACGACAGCGCGTCTAGTTAGCAAGGCTCTACAAACGGCAATAATTATTCATTGTGTTTTTAACGCGCGCCAGAAGCCCGCGGAACTGTAAGAGGCGTGCGCTGAGCGGCGCCGTAAAAATTGTTCTGGAGAAGCTGTGGAGTCGCTTCGACTATTATTGTTAGATAAAGTTATTATTATTTAACCAAAAACATTTTCATGTAGGTATGTCAAGAAGAGATAATTTATGGCTCGCATTGTGAAAACGTTATCAGAAAAAGTGATCAGGTATGTGTAGCCAAGTTTCTAACTACAAAACTTAACGAACTCTACACTTTTAGTTAAAATGTATGACACAGTCGTTTTGTTTTTCAAATGATTTGTAACAAATTAATCTTTCCTATTATTTTGTCTTAAAAATGTCATTGACAAAAGTCTTCAAGTGATGTAGTTTACGGCGTCATTTTTCCAGCCATAAAGTCAGTTGAACTTAGAAAAACTCTTTTTTTTTAAGAAGCAGAGAATGTAAGAAACTCTGTGCGTCAGAAGAAAAGTTCCCTAAAAGATTTGCATTTAGTTTAATACACAATAAAAATAAATACGCCATTAATTAAGTATTGATTAAAAGATAACTATGTCACTCTATTTTTATGAGTCTTCCCATATACGAATGTTTATAACCTTAATTGCATATTTTGTTTGTCACCCTCACCATAGTTGGATTAAAGGTTCTTATGTATTAGTATTGATTAATAGTTAGCTGTGACACTCTTTTTTCATGAGTCTAACCATGTACGCATGTCTATAACCTTAACAGCATATTTTGTTTGTCACTCTCACCATAACTTTTGTCAAAAAAACTAAACCAAACCCGTCTCCACGCCGCCTATATCCACGCCGGGGCACAACCATCTCTTGACTTGTTAATGCCGCAGCCTACTATCTTAGCATATTGCAACACTCTAAATATCGCCATTATTCCCAGCATCCACCGGCCGAATATAGGAACGTTATCACCGGGAAAATATTTGATGGCTGCCCGGGAAAATTGAATTTATTATTCAGCTGTAATCAGACGCGATGTGGAAGAACGTGCATATTTATAAAGCCATTGACGGATACGGAGGGTAGTCCGGGCTGAGGGTAGATTGGACTCGTATTGGAACTAGAGGTTAGTGTTTATTGCAAATTGGCGTGAAAATTTAAGTGGGAAGGTTAATGCTGGCCAGAAGTGGTTTGCTGCATCTGGATTTAATGTGGGTACTTTTACATGAATATAGTTACGTTTTTGATACAAAAGTACGTGATAGTGACTGACTTTCTTGCGCTACTTCTTCTCAGCACTGGCCTATTTATTGTCCCGAAGCAGTGGTAGGTTTAAAACTACTGGGCCGTGTAAAAGATTTGTTTTATAAGCCTACTTGCAAAATAAATATATGTATTTGAATTTATGTAAATTTTATTTGCGAAATGTAAAATTATTGAGGTCAGTGTGCTTACCATGAGTTTACGTTAGGTGTGCTCGCTAGCGAATAAGTCAAAAAATTCTTGAAAGTAGCCGCTAGGGACGCTGCACAATATGTCATATTACATTTAATGTAATTTTTTTACGCAGTCCCTAGCGAGCACACCTAACGTAAACTCATGGTAATGACCCAGATCTGATTTATATCTGACATATAATGCTAAACCCTCAAAAATAGCTCTAAGTTGCTGACTGTCAGTCCTCGTATCTACCAGATGCTATGTTCATGTACGGGATTTTTCATAAATTTTCATGAAAAACTATCACTCAATCTTACCAAACGACACATAAAGCTTGATAATGCACTTAATACAGTGGTATTAGATGCTATATTGGAACCAAAATATTTCTGATGTAGAGTTCGGTTGTACTAAGTACATTTGGGTGACCATAGTCCTACACAAATCACCGAGTACGAGTAAAAGAATTCCCGTTATTTTTCCCTTACATTACCCTGTTTGTTAGTTAGTTAATAAATCGGGCCGGCCATTAGTGCGGGATCGAGTCCCGCCGGAAGGCATGCGTCTTGTTGATTTGTGAAGGATTGGGCGACGCAGGTTCGATGCTCGTGCGAGACATGATTTGTAGTTACGTTTGAAATACGAGAAAGTTTTGAGTTATGCTTTTGTGACGGATGCTTAGGATTTGGGTTTTACATGTTGTGATGAGGTAATAATGCAACTTTGTTTGAAATATCGTTCGTTCGTTCGTTTCAGCCGAATAACGTCCACTGCTAGATAAAGGCCTTCCTTTAGGATTTCCACAAAGACCCGTCCTGCGCTAACTGCATCAAGGCACTTCCCGCGACCTTCACCAGATCGTCGTTCCACCTTGTGGGAGGGCTGCCCACACTACGTCTTCTGGCTCGTTGTTTGAAATACAATCCTGTCTTATTCTGCTGCAATACAAAAATTAATTACTCAGCTAAACGGTCATGTTTGCGTACGGATTTTACCTCAACTATAACTGCCATAACTGATACAGATTTTTCTTCTGTACTAAATGCATCGGATCCAAATCTAGCAGCTGACATTTTTGTTGGTATAATTTCCTCTCTCATAAAAAAACATACTCACACTGTTTCGGTCCCTAGTAAAAAGCGTATAATTAAGCCGTGGATAACGTCAGGTCTCTTGAGATGTATACGTCATCGTGACAAATTGTATAAAATACATAAAAATAATTTGGATAATGAAAATAATAAAACTATATATACACGTTATCGAAATTTTTGCAACAACCTGTTGAAAAAAGTCAAGCGTGAATATAAGCAAAAAGAGCTGCAGAATGCTAAAAATAACCCAAAAGAAACTTGGAATATTATTAAGACAATTGCAAATATTCCGAAAAAACAGTCGTGCTCGAAAAACTTGCTGAATCTATCTTCTGACCAGTCTGCATCTGTCGACCTAGTAAACAGCTACTTTGCTAACGTCGGGAAGAATCTTGCTGCTCAAATCCCATCCGTAACTTGCCAATGCCCAAATACTGCTCACAATAGTTTAAATACAACCACGAAACAAGCTATAAATTCAATGGCGCTTTTTAGCGTCGATAACTGTGAGATAGAACGTATCATTTTGAATCTTAAGAATAAATGTGCAGTTGGCTGGGACGGCATATCTACTTCATTAGTCAAGTCTGCTAGACATGTTCTGATTCCTGTACTTAATTTCATTTTTAACCTCGCTCTTTCTACAGGCATTTTCCCGAGCGCTTTTAAAAAGGCAATTGTTCATCCCATTTTTAAGAGTGGTGACGGGGACAGTGTCTCTAACTACAGGCCCATCTCAGCGATCGTAGGCAGTATGTTGTTGTTGATGGATTTAAGAGTAAAGAGGAGCATGTCACTTTCGGTGTGCCTCAGGGCAGTGTTCTTGGGCCAACCCTCTTCTTAATTTATGTCAACGACTTGTGCAACTCTTCCTTACAAAATTGTAAGATTATCACTTACGCCGATGATACTGTTCTTCTTGTCCATGGCCGCAACTGGCAAGAGGTGTGTGCCGTTGCCGAGAGTGCTTTATCAGCGGTAATCAAGTGGCTTTGTGCGAATCTTCTCACGCTTAATGTATCCAAAACTAAATTTATAGCCTTTGCTCCACACACACCATCTAAACCNAATTATTATTATTAAATTATATACCGTTGTTTGCGAAGTTGGCTTTTATTTAGCCTAGCATTCCCTCGACTGGACCTGGGGTGTGTACAGTGTTTCAGGCTAAGTTATCAGAACTTCACACAACCGCCAAAATTTTTTTGGTTCATTACAATAAATAGTTGGTACTTATTTGATCTTATTAAAAATACGATTAAAATAATTGTCTGTGCTGCAAGCCATCTACGCAGTCTTCGCAGACATCCGGCG